ATAAAGCATGCAAACTAATACAAATTGTACACATCCTAGTGCAAATTTATTTGGACTATTTTCCAGACAACTGTTTCAAGGTTTTCAGCCATACGAGGTGGGTCAGGTCGGGTGTGTTTGGTTTGTGCCCCAACTAGCCCGACCAAAATTTTGGCATGACCAAAGCAAGGGCATGACCAAAAATTTGGCAAGTTGTTATTGTTTGGATTGAAGCCATTGTACTTACCAAAAAATTGGCAAAATTGTTGGGCCTCCATTTGGCTTGGAGCCGCTGGGTTGGCAAAAGTTTCATAACTTACATTGATTAGTACTTGATATATTTTTATTGTCTCAAAAGAAGTTATTGTCTAAAAAACCTGATTTGGTTTAAATTTAGTTTCAGTATTGAGCCAATTTAGGGCTCCTTTGATTCAAAGGAATTATTTAGGATTTTTGGGGATTGAAATCCTTAAGAATTTTTTCTATGTCGGCCCTTTGATTCATAGGATTGGATCCCATAGGAATTTATCCTATGGAATCTTTTGTACTACATTTCATAGGAAATCTAACATCCACTCCAATCTCTTTTTACAATTCTTTTGTTTTTCATGTGGCATCAAACACTTTTTGCTAATCCTATAGGATTCAAGTTGACATGCCACTGCAATCCTATATTTTCCTATTCCTATATTTTCAAAATCCTGTGAATCAAAGAGGCCCAAAAGGGAAACACGGAATCTTAATTAACTACAGTGTACTAAAAGAAAGGAAATGTACATGCAAAAGGACAAGTGTACAGCATATACAATGTCACGGTTCAGAAGTATTATGAGGCAATGGTGGGCTGCTATTAGGCAACCTTAAACATGATTAGTTATGCGGCCGCTTACACTGGATTAGTCTATCAAAACAACCTCTGCATACGAAAAGGAAATTGAAACAACCACGACGTAAAACGTGCATGACCACTGCTTTCTGGAATTCTGGTTACTCAGCGAGATAATCCATCATCTTTTTTAACATCTCGAAACAGTATTAACGTACACGTCGGAGCGGGCTGAGCACGCCAATTTTTTGGCGAGCGATTCCTACGCCCTCGCCGCGCCTATGATTTGGCGAAAATTACACGGGGCATTCAGGGCACGCTGGGCTAGCCAAAATATTGGCCTCAATCCAAATGACAGCCGAATGGCACGCCAATATTTTGGTAAGGCCAGCTGTGGCTCGAATCCAAACACACCCGTAGCCACCAAGGCCCAATTAAAAGGATCAAAGCTTCCTCTCACTCTTGTTTCAAAAAAAAAAAACAGCTCCCTCTCACTCTCCTAAAAAGGGAAAAATACCACCCATCATCCGGCTTAACCAGGGAACGGGAAGCATTGCAATTGCGAACGATTTGCATGACAATTTATATTGGCTGAGGATGGCAAACTTAATTGACAAACATGATAAATTCGCCTCAGTTAAGTTTTTTATGAGGATTTGCCGTGCTTGCAAACTAAATTCGTCATCCTTGTGACAATATAAATTGCCATAAAAGACCTTCGATTTGCCATCCCTTCCTAGCGAACGTCGGGTTTGTAGTAGCATTATATACAAAAAACAAAGGATGGTATATTTCGCTCAGAAAAAACGATGGCATTATCCACTGGCCTTTGGAAGACCCGGTTCCTTCGAGAGGACGCTCGGCCTCGCGCACCGGCGGACGGAGCCCCCGACTTCAAAATTCAAAATTTTCCAATGGCCACGTTCCTCTTTCGCCCCCCTTTTCACGGCCGCCTCCGCCCCCTCCGCCTCCTCCTCCTCCTCCCGCAGCCCAAACCCCTCCTCCTTCCCAGCAGAACCCTCCGCCTCCGCTCCCCCAGGCTCACCATGGC